TACATTTCTGCTCTCAGTCTGTCTTAGCTTTGGAGCCGTGAGCCTTTGAAGGCAGATGACATACTCAATTATTATCAAGTCAGTTTTGTATCTGTCATTTGATCACTCGTGACAGCAAAAGCAATGTAAAAAGAGTAAATGCTCACTACAGAATTAGCCTGCAAAATATAATAGCTATTGTAGGGTATCCGGCACACAAAATGTACATCAGCTGTCAGAAGTTCCTGAATAATATTCTTGTGCATTTCGGATAGGACCAGCCACAGCTGTGCTGATGTCACATTTCGGTAGCATCTTTCAGTAGGTTACGCATTCTTTCCTGAGGAAAAAGAATCTCTTCTTTCCTGCTGTAAACAGAATTTCTGGGAAAGAGAGACAGTGTGCTAGTGCATCTCAGCCTTAGCTTCAGATATTCGTGGATCAGAATTTCTCCTCATAGAAATTAATATATTTTCACTGGTTAAGTGAAGCCATGACATTATAGCAGCAGACAAATCCAGTCTTCTGTTTTCCATCACAACTGACATAATCTTCTAAAGGTTCTGTCAGTCTCTACACTCAGCAAACCGGTGGGATTGTGAAACCATTTTCCAAAGGAGTTCTGCAGAGTGGTGATGGTGAGCATCACTTATTCTGCCTTGGCAATAGAGACATGCATTCTGTTTGAAGAGCTTACCCACAGTTTGTACAGGCAGAAGAAAGCACTGTGATAATTTACTCCATCTTTCTGTACATGGAGATTGTCAGAAGCTCTGGGCTCAGTTTCTATGTGAGCTACAGATATAAATATATTTTTATGAGACCTTCCAGTCAGAATTTAGACCTTCCCAGAATTTCTCAAGTTGTACTGGTTTGTATCTGGCCCTCCCCATTTATCTGCTTACCTGCTCTTAAATTCATTCTTATTGTGCATATGTTGAACTTTAATTTTCATCTGAGACCATGAAGAGTTTATTTCTGAAGTCTTGTTCCCCACATGGGTACTTCTAGCTCACAGCCAATTTGCTCCCAAAAGCACCTATTTGAGAAACTTGTTCTGCAACACTTTGAACTCCATGCGTCCCCTCTCTCCAGAATAGAGCAAAGAGTATTTAATAGAGTCTCTGGGGCAGTTTGGTGAGTGACATCTATAATGAAACCATCTCACAGAATACAGATGAAGAGCTAGACGGATTCTCTCATTTTTCAGAGACTACTCAACTACTTTCTGACAGTAATAACTAATGGTCACTTGTGGTCCAGTGTGGAACCAGAAAAAAAAAAAAGAAAAAGTGGAGGAGATAGATAATTTCTGAAAGGTAAAAACACCAGCACAGCTCAGAGGTGGGTCTGCACAGAGATGCGATGGTTTTGCTGTTGGTCCCTCACCCTTCCAGGAGATCCAGCGCTGAAGTCTGTGAAAATCACAAATCCGAAGAGCCCAGACAACCTGCAGCTGCTTCTCAGTTGGGAAAGACATTACCTATATTATTCATTAGAACAGGCTGCCCAAGGAGGCTGTGGATGCCCCATCCCTGGAGGTATTCAAGGCCAGGATGTGGCTCTGGGCAGCCTGGTCTGGTGGCTGGCGACCCTGCACATAGCAGAGGTTGAAACTACATGATCACTGTGGTCCTTTTCAACCCAGGCCATTCTATGATTCTATGGTTCTATCTGTAAGGTTTTACAGCTGTGAGTTCCTCCAGAACGGAAACACTCTCCAGGAAAAGATGCTGGTAGTATTTATGTGCATGCACCCATAACATTACATTTTGTATTTGATCTTGTAACTACAAAACAAGCTGTTGTACTGCAATTAGTATAGAAAAAAATAATAATCATTTAAATTCATTTTCCATCATTTTGTTTGTTTACAAATACAAACTGAATAAAAATCTATAATTCTAAGCAGGTTTAAGGGGAGATTACTGCAAGCTCATGATTTAAAAAAAAAATATGAAAAAGCCTTTTTTTCCTAGATTAAAAATAAAATAATAAATACTACAATATAATCCTGGCAGCAGATTTTACATCTACATCCAAAGGAGGTGCAGGTTTATTTATTAAAGAAGAGTGCAGTGTCTTGAAGTGCAAACCAAAGCTTTTGCTGAGCCGTACTGCAGGCTGCACTGTTGTAATCAATACTCCAAACAGACCTATTTTTCTTGGACAAAAAAACATACATATATCTGACATTTGAGGAAGCCAGGTGAATAAATCAATAGCTAAACACAAATGCACTTAATCATATCTATTGCGGATAGATGCAGTTTGGAAAAAACCTGTATGGCTCACGTATTGCCTTCTGCTTAAAGGTTAGGAATGAAACTGCGTTTCCTAAGTCACGTCCTTCTGATACACTGCATTTCTGAAGCCAGAATGATGGCAGCAGCCACTGTGTAATGGGGTCTGAAGCCCCCAGTACAAGAAAGACAGAGAGCTGATGGAGAGGGTCCAGAGGAGAGCCACAAAGATGATCAGGGGGCTGGAGCACCTCCCCCATAAAGACAGGCTGAGGGAGCTGGGCTTGTTTAGCCAGGAGAAAAGAAGGCTGCGGGTGATCTCATTGCAGCCTTTCAGTACCTAAAGGGAGCCTACAAACAGGAGGGGAATCAACTCTTTCAAAGAGTTAATAACTGCAGGACAAGGGGAAATGGTTTTAAGTTGAAGGAGGGAAGATTTAGGTTGGATGTGGGGGGAAGTTCTTTATAGAGAGAGTGGTGAGGTGCTGGAACAGGCTGCCCAGAGGGATTGTGGATGCCACGTGCCTGCAGGTGTTCAAGGCCAGGATGGGGCCCTGGGCAGCCTGGTCTAGTATTAAGTGGGGAGGTTGGTGGCCCTGCCTGTGTTCAGGGGGTTGCAAATTCATGATCCTTGAAGTCCCTTCCAACCCAAACCATTCTGTGATTCCGTGACATTGCTGGGCAGGTCTTTCCCTACACCTTCAGAATGTACTTTACTGGGGTATGCAGGAAAGATTCACACATTCTTAACACACAACCTTAAATTGACTGAACTGTTACCTGAGTCAGACCAATGTACAATGCGTTTTATCTTTCCTTAATGGCTTGAAGTGATAATTGTTACAGCACGTTTCTTGTGCCACTGCAGATGATCATTAAACATACACAATAGCCCCATTAAATGATTATGGATAACTCTGGTGTCTTGGCCAAAAAAACTCTATGTCCAAAGGTACATTGGTGCACAGAACACTGCTGAGCTTAAAGGTGGCCGTTTGCCTGGCATCGATTCATAAGGCCGTTTGAGATAGCCACAGTGCCAGGGATGCTTTAGTTTTTATTATATAAAAATTTTGATTTCTTCTCAGCTTTAGCCCTGAGCAATTCAGTGTTATTGGAGCATCAGGAGCACTGCTTCTTTACAGCTTCAAAGTCCAATTCTAATCTCACATTGGCAGTGCACCTTGAGATTAAACATCTGCCCCCAGCTGGAAGCAGTGGATGCTTTCAGCAGAGCAGTGCAGTGGGAGGTACCAGCCTGATACTGTGATACTGCTCAGTGAGAGGCTGAGCTGAGGGCACATCAAGGTGCCTGACCTGAATGCTCTTCCAGGAAACATTCTAAGCTGTAAGAAAGGCACCACACATCACGACACAGTGAGCATGGGGGCGGCTTCGTGCCTGCTGTTAACCTGAAGGATGGGCAGATCCCTCCTGAATGACCTTTTCAGTGCAAACTTCTGTCAGGTGTTCTGAAATCACGCAGACCAGGCACGTATTTTCCAAACGCGTAATCCTGTGAAGAAGAAAATGCAAATAGATGTCTGAGAATCTTTTGTTTCCTTCCTGCTGCAGCTCCTGTCTCCTCAAGAGCACAGCAATAGGCTTCTCCTCAGTACGAAAGCAGAGCATGTCTGCAGTGCAGTCACCCTGAGCCATGGATGCGCCCTGTGGTTGGGTGGGGCTCTGGGCAGCTTGATCTGCTGGGTGCCAACCAGCCTAGAAATGAGGCTGGGGCTGGATGGGGTGGATTCTAAGGGCCCTTCCAACCCAACCCAACCCATTTGGCCCTGGGCAACCTGTTCTAGTACCAGATCTGGAGGTTGGTGGCTCTGCCTGTAGCACTGGAGTTGGAACTTGATGATCCTTGGAGTCCCTTCCAACCCAAGCCGTTCTATGATTCTGTGGCACAGATGTTGGCTCCTGCTGGCTCAGACAGCTGAGGCTGTGGCAGGGCTCCTCAGCCGCTTTGCCCTCCCACTGTCCTCATCCCATTCTGGGAGGACATTCTGGGAGCTCTCTGTGTTTGTTTTGGGCCAATTACTTCAGAGCGTGTGTAACAAGCTTCCCTCCCGCTGATACACTCTAATTCCACCTACATTTTTGCCTTCTCACTTCTAATTAACCAATAAACGCAACACCACCTGTGTTGGAAGAGAGTTTTTTTCCCAACACCGCAGGCAGCCGAACCCCGCTCCTTTCCTCAGTACAGCACCACTCTGACACGAAGGAGGCCCACACCGCTCCCGCCCCTCAGTGCTCCCGCCCACCCGCGGCCCCGCGCCGTGCCGGCCGCTCTCTCCGCTTCCCGCCGCAGCACCGCGTCCCCCGGCGGCGGGCAGGCAGCGCCCCCGGCATGCGGCAGAGGGCGCCCCGCGTTCCGCCACAGCGGGGCCGGGAGGAGCCTCCGGCGCGGCGCGGCTCGGCCGGGGAAGGAGGGAGGAGGAGGAGGGAGCTGCCACGTCCTCTGCGGAGAGCGGAGCGCCTCAGCCCCACGTGCGGCGGAGCGGGGAAGTTGCCGGCGGCCGCTTCGCGCTTTGCCCCTCTCTCTCTCTCGGGCGAACGCAACTCCGGGTAAGGGCGCGCGGGGCCGCCGTCCCGAGGTGTGGGGAGCCGCTCCGGGAGAGGCGCGGCGCCGGCGGGGCTCCGTGCGGGCCGACTTCCTGCGGGCTGCGGCTCCCAGCGCCGCTGGCGGAGCGCCGCGGGGAGGAAGCACAAAGTTTGCGGGCGGCGGTGCGCGGGCGGCCCGCTGGGGGGAGAGCGGCGGCCGGACGGGACGGGGCGGTGCGCGGCTGTGCCGCCGGACTGAGCCGCGGCCCCTTCGGGGATCCGCGAGGAGAGCAGCTCTTGGAAAGCCCCGCGGCTTCCTCGATCGCCTTCACTTTATTCGGAATTTCAGTTCTCCGGCCGCGAGTGCTGTTGCGTGTGGGAGACGAGCGGGGAGCCGCGTTTGTGCAGCCTGGTGGGGGATCGGGGAACCTCAGAAAAGCCTTTAAAGGTGAGCCGGGTCGGGGGGAACCGAGATGATCCGTTCTGAACGTGGAAACGCGGCTTCGCTCTGTATCTCAACGCGGCTGCCGTTTGTTCCGGCGCTGTCCCCGCCGAGGCTGACAGGAGCGCAAATCGGAGCTTTTCTTCGGTTCTTTTTTTTTTTATTGGGCACCTGGAGAGCAAGTCGTTTTCTTCCCGTGTGTATTTCTAAAGAGCCCGAGCTTCAAATCTGCGATTAAAAGAGGGGGAAAGAAATGTTCGGTGATATGGAGGTCTCCCTTGCGTGGTCCCGACATCTGTGCCAGCTCCTCTGCCTCCATCTGCAAAGCTCTGTTCTTTTTAGCTATGATCAGATTGCTTCTTTATAATGGAATAAAAGTCTGATGGGAATTCCCCATTGCCTTATTAAAAAAAAAAAAAAAGTGGGATGAGTTTCTTGTTAGTGCTTTTGCAAGAACTTTTTGCTCTCTGTCCTGTAGTGGCCTGTTTATACCATGCAGTCCTGAAAGGCTGAAGTTAGGAGGAGAGCAGTTCTGGGCTGTCCTCAAGCATCGCACATGGAAACCTCAGCCGTTTTTCTCCGTAAATGAACAGCTCGCTCTTGGAGCAGATCAGGCTGCACCCTTCCCTTGTGCTGTGTGGGAAATGTAGAGGCAAAGTTGACCAGCGTGATGTGGGGTGCTGTTGTCACGTACTCTTTCTGCCGGGACAGGGGGTTGATCCTAAGTAATCTTGGAAGTCCCTTCCAACCCAAACCATTCTGTGATTCTGTGCTTTTATGACAGGACTTTCTGGGAATCACCTGTTTCTGTAGTGCTCTTTCCAGCACAGGCTTGCAGAGGTTTTTGCTCTTCAGTCAGGTTGTGATGAAGGTGTTGACCCAAAGCAAAAGGTACAGAAGGGTACAGGCGGCACTGATAGAGGTGAAAATGAGTCATTAACAGCACATTCAGGTGCTGCGAGGGTGGGTTTGGAAAGCCCTGTTTGTACAGCCCTTAGCGCGTGGAGCATCCCTGTGTGCTGTGACCAGTGCTCTCGGAGCGGTGGGACCAATCCACTGGAGCCATACTTATCAGTGACTGCATGGCTGCATCTGTCTGGGGAGGAGCAGTCGAGCTTTGAAGCTATCCCAGAGCAGCAGGCTGCAGCACAGCTCGCACTGTGTGAGGTGGCTGTCGGTCACCCTTGCTGGCTGCACATTTGGAGGTGTGTGCTGTGTACAGGTGAGAGAGTGGGCTGTTTCCTCTAGTCGCTCCTACAGCAGTGTGCTAGCAAAATAATCTCTTTTTTAATCCAATCTAATCACGTTTCTCTGTGCATTAGACAGTGAAATGCTCCTGTATGTATATACATGCTGATTAGGTGATATCAGCTGTCTTATGGGATGGTAAATAGGCTGGACAGTAAATCTGGCTGCGGAACTTCATGTGCGATGTAAGGCAGTTTCCTCCTCTGTTTTTGTTACATATTTTCCTCCTCCATCATCTTTCTCCCTTCCCTGTTAGCTTTGAATCCAGCAGGACTTGGCCTGATGGTGTGTGCTCTACTTAGAGGCAGTGATTCAGGAGAACTGAAAAGGGAGAGTTTTCTCCACTAGGAGTCACAGCCCTGGTTCAGCAGGGAGCGGTGCTGTCACAAGGACTGTGCTTACAGGAAGATAATTCATCTTTTGGTATCAGGGTTTGAGAGAACTGAGCACTAATTCTCTCTGCTGAATCGGGCTGTGTTTGCCATACCTCACAGCTCCATGTCCCATCTGCTCCTGAAGTCTGAGCTCCTTGGGAATGGCCCTGGCATTTTTTGACTCTGGAGCTGCCTGCTCCAGAGCAAAACATTCTGCCTGTTTTCCTGTTAGTCCCTCCATCGTGTGCTGCAAGGAGTATCTATGGATGACTGATGCCCACATTGTCCCCTAGCAATTCTGTGTTGTGTGCAGATCTGGATTTCTCTGCTTTTTTGACACTTGACTGCTGTGCTTCAAGAAATGTCTGCCAAGCAGATCTTTGCTGTGGTCTTCTTGAAAGGCCTCTGAAGTGAGTGCTGTAGAGACCACCAAGGCAACAGCAGGGCTGCTCTTTCACCAGGTGGCGATTTATCACGAGGTGCTGTATACTGAGGAGCCTCTGTGGTTGTGATGTTCTGTGTTGTTCTCCCCCTTCCTTTAGTTTTCTTTTTTTTAATTATTGTAGTATCAGCTTTCCCTTAAGTGCTTGTTAAAGCCGAGAAGCTACCTTCCTTTCCATCCATATGGGAAATAGTTAGGTTGACAGATGTGGGCTCTGTGAGGATTTGCTGAGCTCTTAATCCTGTTTGTGGCTAACAGGCCATGCTAATGTGCAAGGGCATCTCTTTCACTGTACAGAGTTCTCACCTGCTGCTGCCTTGGGGAGATGTGCTGTTAAAATGCTGTCATTGCCTTAGCAGTAGTGGTGGGCCAGAGGTTGTCATTGTGAACCTCTGCAATGCTGCAGGTCTCTCCTCTATTTTTTTATGTTAGTTAGAGATTATTTTCTTGTTAAGACAAACGCAGGAATTGCTGTAGGCAACAGAGGAAGAAGGCTCTCTGTGCTGGCTATGGCAAACAGCTGGAGATGGGGTGTTTGTGAGCTCTTAGGGTGTTCTGGGGGGATGAGATGTGTGATGCTGTTCCCTTTGTTGCCTTTTGCCCTAGCCCTGGTTTGGTCTCAGGGTTTTTCACTCTCCTCTATCCAGCTTCATTTGATTTCTTTTATGCTGCTTTTAGTTGCACAGAAGTTAGTTACTTCTTTCTCCTTTAAAATGGGAGTTCTGTGCTTTTAGATGTCAGTGTGGCTAGAAGTTTCTGATCACTCTGTTCATTAGAAATCTTGTGGAATTTCTTGAAGCATAGGAGGCAGAGCATTTAAATCGTTCTGTATGGGAGTTACCATAGAATCACAGAATGGCCTGGGTTGAAAAGGACCACAGTGATCCCCTAGTTCCAACCCCTTGCTATGGGCAGGGTCACCAACCACCAGACCAGGCTGCCCAGAGCCACATCCAGCCTGGCCTTGAATGCCTGCAGGCATGGGGCATCCACAGCCTCCTTGGGCAGCCTGTTCCAGTGTGTCACCACCCTCTGTGTGAAAAACTTCCTCCTCATATCTGACCTAAACCTCCCATGTCTCAGTTTGACACCATTCCCCCTTGTCCTATCACTATCCACCCTTGTAAACAGTCATACCCTCCTGTTCATACGCTCCCTTCAAGTACTGGAAGGCCACACTGAGGTCTCCCCACAGCCTTCTCTTCTCCAAACTAAACAAGCCCAGTTCCCTCAACCTTTCTTCATAGGACTCATGAAAGCGTAAACACAATTTTTAATGTATTAGTGACTTGACAGAGCCACCTCTCTCTGGTCCACCAACATGCTGGTCAAAAGCTAATCTAAATAACTACAGTGCACTGATAAGTCCTTCCTTGCAGTTTCACATGAATGCAGATGACACCACTGTCCACCCTGTCTAATTATTGTGTGCTTTTTCAGCATCTGCTGAAAATATTTCCAGTCAAAGGATTTATTTTGTGCCGTTTGTTGATGGTACTCCTTGGGGCTGAAAGGCTTTTGAGAAAAATGCCTGCTTGCCTTCCTTGATGCTGGTAGCCACACTGAAAGTGTATGCAAGACAGCGACCTGAGGTCCAAACGTTTGGCAGAGGGTGTCAGTGAAACCAGGACTGAGTGTGCAGATGGAAGGCATGGTCACTGATTCATGGCACTCAACTGCAATAGGAGTCTTTTTTTTATTTTATTTCTGTTTGGTTTCTCTTGTGTAGTCAGCTGACAGTACCAAAATACCTTTATTTTCCTTTTTGTATCGAGCATTGTCTAGGATAGCTGCAATGGAAGGCTGCTATGACCATGATGTATTTCTTCTGCAACTGGCTTTTAAAAATGGGACAAGATAATAGGAAGACTCACTGTGTCAACCTCCCAGTTTAGCCATCATACAGCTACAGCTCAACTTTCTATCTGTAGTATATTTGCACTCTTAATTTTTTAGAGCTACTCACGGCACAGGAAAACAAAACAAAACAAACACACAGCTAAACAAGTGCTTGTGAACAAAAGTACCACCTCAATAAATTGCCCCAACCCAAATGGATTGGTTTGTTGCTGCCAGAGTCCAAAGGGTGCCAGTGTCAGTAAACGCAAGGCCAAACATTCTACACCCCCCTACCCCAGCAGCTCAAAGAAGTCATCTGTGCCTGCAGCAGGACAGGCCACATTTCTGCTCTTCATGTGACAAAGACACCAACACATTTGCTTAGGCAGAAGCAGCTTTTGCACTGATGCTGCTCTTTATTTTCCACTCTTTTTGTGAAATACAGAGACAATTTCCAAGCAAAGCCTTTGGGAAAAGAGCTCTACTCAAAATCACTGGTCCTCTGTCTGGCACAACAAGAGCAGAGAATGCAAATTAGTTTCAAAAAAAGCAGCTGGCAATCAATAAGAAAGGGCTGGTCTCCAAAAGTAAAGCTGGGTTCCTCTAAGGATAAGAGTTAAAAGGTAAAAAATATAAGAAGATGAAAGTAAAGGAAGAACAAACGTAAACAACGTTGTGGGAGGGAAGCACAGAAGGAGAAAAAAAAATCTAATGATACAACTGAAAAAAAATCAGAGACAAAGAACAGCTGGGGGTAAAAAGGGAAGAAATACGCACACAACTGGACTGCACAGAGAAGGATCATTAGAAAAAGTCTAATGCACAAAACACGCAGAAAGCAAACAAGATAAAAATAGTGAAAGGGAGCAGATAAGAGGCTAGCAGGCACTAAGGCTGAAGGCAGCAGACACGAGTTCACGTTCTAGCCCGGTTCCCAGGCACTGATGAGTCTGGTAATGAGCATCAGCATTCCTTCTGCTGCACAGCTGGCCAGCTCACCAAGCCGTGCCTGTTCGCCTCCTGCCCTTCTGCACAACCCAGTGCCCACCTGCATGAGCCAGAACCCACCCACTCTACCTGCAGGCAAAGTCTTCTTAAGGCCTCTCATGCCCATGGCAGCTGGAACAGACTGAGAAAAGCCCAGCAATAACGTTACCACCTGTGTAAAGGAAAGAAGAGCTCCTCGGGAGAAGATTAAGCGAGCTGAGGTGGGAGGCTTCAATGCTTGGGTAGTATCTGCCTTCAGTTAGGCCCTCTGATAAAGGTCTAAGGGTCTTTAATAAAGCTCCATGACGTTTACATTGCCAAACAGAAAAGTCTTGCATACAGCCCGTCTTGATTCCAGGCTTTGTTCTGTGCTAGTGGTATGGATAATCATGCCTTGGATGCAGACCTCGGGGTGTATATTTGTCACGCTCGCAGGCTGCTTTCTATTTATAAATGGCTCTCAGTGGTTTTACACCCTCTGTCAGTTTGATTTTGTTTGGCACCTTGGCTTTGTGTACACAGAGAGCCCTTCTCTGGCCACAGTGCAGTCCTTTGCAGCAGGTCCAAAGAGCAGGCGTGCTGCGTAAACCTGTTATTGAAACTCAGTGAAGTTCTTTGCATCTCAAGAGTCCATTTTCTAGAGACCTGTGCACCTTACTGCATTGGGTCTTGCTCCCACTTTGGAGTCGGAAAGCTTACTTCTGTATTTAAGGATAGCTTAGGACAGAAACTGTGAAATAAGCATCTATCCAAGTGGTGTGAGGGGGAGTTAGGTGGCAGCGCTGCGAAGGATTACAAAAAACAAATGCTTTCCTGAGTTGACATGTTAAAGGTGGAGCTTGTAGCTGTGGTATTAGGATGAGTGACACGTGTTTGGAGGCTTGAGTTGTGTGTGTTGAAGGGCCCTAGCCTGGAGGAAGGAGTGTGTGTCAACTTCTTGCCTGAGTGTTTAGGTTTGATAGTCCTGCTCAGAAGCTTGGCTGCAGAGCTGGGCTGATTTCAGCCTGCAGCCTCAGCCTCCTTCCCTCCATTGTTCCTGGTTCTCACAGCGGTCGGACAAACATTCAACAGGATAGAAAACAGCGTCTGTAAAAGTAAGATTTGCTCTGACATCTGATTGGAGGAGCTACTTCTAAGTCTTGCATTTCTGAAAGTTGAAACTGGCTCCTTTCTGCTGCTAATTCATGTAACATGTTAGCTCATTGTACAGTAATCTCTAGCAGGCACACAACGGCTTACTTTTTATGGCATAAACTGGGAGAAGGGGCAAAGATTTGTATACAGTCATTTTATTGTTGTTTTTTTTTTCCCCATGTCTTCCAGCTGTAGCACTGCTTCCTGTGTGGGAGAATGAGAACGGGGGACCTTTCTGTTCTGTGTCCAGAGTACGACACAAGCCAGTGTTAGAAGTAGGAGTGAGAATCCTTTTGACCTCTTGAATCTGTGCTTTTGTTAATAGCAGAAGGGGTTATTACTATTGAACATGGTGAAACGGTGGTTTTCTTTTTTTAAAAAAAGAAAGTTTAAATTTAGTATGTGTTTAAGGCAGAGGAGGGGTGCTTAAAGCATTCAGAGAAGCCTGCAGGAATAAATCTTCACAGGAAATTCAGTTACAAGCGGAAATACTCAAGTTGGTCTGTATGTATTAACGTGGGGTTCCTCCCTGTCTAATGATGCCCCTCCTAATAGAGCTGGCTTGTAGCTGCACCACGTCTTACCAACTGGCATGCACTTCTCTGTTTGCACTCTCAAATCAGCAGGTAGGGGCTGAATCTTGTCTGTAAGCCATCCAGCTTTGTTATTTCAGTCCTGCGCTCAATAAACATGCAGTGCCGACAGGCTGGCCTCCTAGCCTAGGCTCAGCACTGCTCCAACAAATGGCTGCAGCTGTAGGGCTGAAGCTGGCTTGCTTCTGAGCAGGACTGTGGAAGGCTGGGTCCTAGATGTGCCTTGTGCCCAGTTTGATAAACTGCATGGAGGTTTCTTCACGTCTGTCCTCATCCTGAGATGACAGGGGAAGCTTCTGTCCTTTGTGACACTGGAACTTTTCGGTGCCTTTTTGTAGCTGTTTCATGGGGTGAAGTGTTTTGATTGTTTGCTGTTTTACTTACTTCACTTCATTCATTTATTTTTAAGGCAGTGCTTTTTGCTCAGTTTTTTATTATCTGGATGTGTTTTCTTGGCAGAGGCAGGTTTTCCTGTGCCTCTTTTGCAGCAGTGAAAAGAACCCATTGGCCCCTAAAGCTTTCCTGCTTAATGCGCTTTTTGACCTTTTCAGTCACTTTCTGTTTCACAAGTGTAAGTCCTGGGGATGTTACTGTCCCTTGTTGCTGAACTAAACGACAGTTGAGGGTTTCTGATGATAAATGCATATTTTTCCCTATGCAGGTTTATCTTTGTACTGTGTGCTGGGCAGTCCTGAAGGGGAGGTTCTGTGTGAAGAGAAGTCTGAGATTTTGGCCTTAGCAACCCTTACAAGTGCAGGAGAGGAAGAATTAAGGAGAATGGCTGTGGTGTGCAGAGTCTGAAGAATCCATGTCAGTGTATCCGGTCCCCTTTTCATGCAGTGTAAGGAAGACGGTGATGGGAGGATTCAGTCTTCCCCGTGGTACCAGCAGAAGAGCAAGAACAGCACCTGAGAGCTAGGTAAGGCCCTGTGAGCTGCGAAGCTTCCTGGGCTGTGTTCAGTCTTCTAAAATACAGTTTAAGGAACAGCCAACAAAATGTGTTTTCCAGGGGCTGAAAAGGTTTCCAGGTAGCGATTCCTGATCATCTGTCAGCTTCAAACTCCTTTGATCCCCATATAACATAATTCAAAAATGTTTTTAAAGCTTAGCCTTATTTTAATTAAAAAGAAGTATCGTGGCAGGGTTTTTGACGTTGCACGTTTGCTGAGCCACATCTGCAGGCTGGATAAGTGGCAGGAAATTCTGCTCTATGGTGCTTATTTGCTGCCGCCTTTTGTGCCAGATTTCATTAGATGCAGGATTGTTTTCTTTCAAGCTGAATGGGCATGCGTTTTTTGCTGAATATCTTCCTCCTGTGAACACTTTCATTTGTTGTGTGAAAATAATATGATGCTGTGTTACTGAAAATAGAGTTAGATTGTAGGCACGGGCTGTATTGTCATCTGCTTTTTTTTCCTGTTGTAATTTCAGTAAGTGCTGAAGTGTTTGTTAATCCTGGGGAGACATATTTGCTTTCCAATATAAATATCATTTAGGAAAGTTTATTTCAAGTTATTTACGGGAGACTGCACACACGAGGTGGGGATATGTGGTGTTTTCTTTGGAGCAGACCTTTTCCAAAGACATTTGTAAGGGTTGCTAATGCATTTCCTGCCTAGGAAGCCGAGGAAGTCAAAGAGAGAAGGAGATTACAGACATAGCTGTTAGTGCAGTGCTGTGGAGTTCCTGTAACCTCCATCTCCTGCACAGTTACGAGCTCTGCAGGAAGGGGATGTGCACCTTGTGTTGCAAACTCTCAGGCTTCCTGTTTCTGTGAGCACACTGGTTTCTGGTGGGGCCTCTTAACTTTCACTGCTGGGCCATCTCCTTATTTTCCATGGCCCTAGAAACTTGCTGGTCTCCGCCAGTTCCAAATAGTTACTGATGTCTTCACGGTACAGCAGCGTAGCAGCATCAGCTCTGTGCCAGTCCCTTGGAGTTCTGCTGCAGGTAATATTTCCTGTGAATAAAGTGTTGCTGTTACGGAATTCCAGGGAGCCCTGAATATAAATGTATCAATTATGTGTCAACACAACAGCATCTGTCGTTGAAATTGGGTATCATTTATTTGGCATCAGCCTAGTGAAGATTTGGCTGACAGCCAGAGTGAAATATTCCAGCAGAAAAAGCTGCAGCAGGAGCCATCTCTGAAGTAATGCTCTGAAATTCAGGTGTTCTAACATCATCCAATACATTCTTAAGACATGAGGGACCTTAAGCAAAAAGGTTCCATGTTCTCGTCTGCTTTTCTTTCTTTTTCATGTTGTTATTTTTTTGTTCTTGCTCTCCGCAGAGATGCACACAGGCTGTGGGATGTATATATCCTGTGAGTTGAGATCCTTCTCCTGACTGCATTTCATATTCCAACACTTGTTTACATAAAAATTCCAAGTGGATGCAATCAGTGATGGCTGCTTTGGGGGAGGTTTAACTGTGAAAGAAGCAAAATAGGAGAGTTAGAAATGACATCCCTTTTCTCCAAAAGATTTGCAAGTGTTTGTGTTTTTCTTAGACATTACCTAAGTAAGCTGCACCTTCCCAGGGATGTGAATCAGAATGGTGAGTTTAGAAAGTTAGGCACAGCCCTGGATACCCTGTTTGTTGTGGATGCACTTGGCTGTGGCTCAGTAAACATTTTGGACTACCTGGTGCAACTCAGAAACAAATCACTTTGCTTTTATGGATGCTTCCTATCGTACTTGAACAAGGTAGAGAAGCAACCCTTCTGTTTAATGGAAAAGCTTGTAATGGGCAGCTCTTGGGTTCTGAGGTATCTTCTTAAAAATGAAAGTAGGAAGCTCAGTGTTGTAAAGCAGAAGATAAGTCAGAAAGATTGGGAGGTTGTGTGTCAAATCTGAATGCCTGCGTGGTTTCTTGTAGCTGGCTGGGGCTCCTTGCGCCAAATCGAAATGATTCACCTGAGTGCTAGAGAAACTCTTTTCTAAGGAAGTGTTAAGAACAATGCAGAGATAAAAGTAGTTGGGAGAGAATAAGCACTGGGCTTTCAGTGCTGCAAGAAAGGCTTCTGGAATAAAGATGAGCGTTTTTAAAAGGTTTTTTTTTTTTTTTTTTTGTTGGTTTTTTTTCCATGAGTTTTGAAGGTCTGTGAAGTTCAATTTCTCTTGGAGGGGAGAGAGCAGTGAAGGGAGGGAGGTCTGTCATATTCTCTGCATTTCAAATGAGTTGGTTGCTGGTTGAGTAGGAAAAGCATTTGGATTTACTCTTTAACTTTAGACTGTCAAAAGAAATAGCAATCTAGAGTTAAGTAATGAAACCTCTTTAGGAAAATCGATGCTGCCTTATCCAAACTCAATTTATTCAAGAGGTCAGCTCTGTTGCTGCCCTGGAAAAGCTTGAATTTAATGATTAACCTCTTTGTGACTGTTCGTGTAACTTCAGGCTTTCCTTCTGGTACGTTATGTAAGCATGAGGCAAGATGGTAATGGAGCTCTCTGTGGAATGCTGTGCACTATTTGGGGAGAAGATCCCTACATACAGTATGTATCAGCCCCAGTGAAACAGAAGCCCATGAAGAAATCCTATTAGCTGTCTGCTCTCCAGGTGAGTTAAAACCTCTGCCCAGTGTCTTAACTGGTGGCTTATCTGTCGCCCCTTCTGGAGAGGTGTCTTTTTGTGCAGCTGTGCCAGGCTAGGTTCATCTCAGCCACATACAACATTGAGAGACAAAGTGATACCCTGTAATAAAAGTCAAAATCCTCTTCAGTGTTGAACCTGACACTGTCTTGTTCTGTTCTGTTGGCCTCCCATTCAGCTGATCTCCTTGTGAGGTCTCAGTGTCACACAAGCAGTAATGCACAACAAGAGGGAGGGAGTGTGTGTTGCATGAAAGCAGCTCTGAACGGCACGGGGTTTGGTCCAGGAGTGCTGTCAGGTGGTACACAGTGTGTTTGCTGTAGCAGTATTCATCTCTGTAATTTTCTGTGGCTTAAAGCAAACCTGTAGTTCTTGTGTTTACTTCCCAAAATTCTATTTCAAAAGTAGCTTTAGTTAATGTAATAGCATGTAAAGTCTAAATTGTTTTTCTCTTAAAACAGAGAGTATCAGGAGGAGTAATTCTAACACCAGCTGCACGTCTCTCATGAAACACAAATCTGCAGTCTGCTCTGTGTATGTAGATGCTCATGTCCATGGAGTGGCCTGAAACCTGCCAAGTGCTGCAGTAGCATCTGAGGCAGACTGCCACGCTGGACGTGAGCTTCTTTTGCTTCCTTCCTCTTCAATTTTTCTCACATCTAAGTAGTTCTGTATCTTTTCAAAGTGATTTCTGTTGGTAGTTGTTGCTTCCCATCAGCTTTTGACTGTCTTCTGTCTTTCATTTTATTTGAAGGAGAGGAATTTGGACTGCAGCTACCTTCCCTGTTTTTAAGTGCTGTACGCTTTTTGCTCTTGAGCTCCACCAAGTTACTGCAATCTTTGCCTACGCAAAATTATTTTGTATTTCATTCTAAGGTGGCTATTCTGAGACGTATAAATACTGTGTTATTTCTGTTCAGATGTTTATGAACAATTTTGACCTGTTGCTGCCCTCTCCAGTTGTTTGAATCATTAGCATGCCCTCAAGGGAGGGGAGACTGCACGTATATGGGTACAGTAGGAAAGGGCAGTGCTATTCCTTTTCCTTTCTCAGAAATGGGCATTGCTATTGTAGCTCTGGCTTCAAGGCTTGGTTAATTGCTGCAGTCGCACAGAGGGATAAGCAATGGCTGATGGATCCAGGTCGTGGGAGGAATACATCTAGATATCTACTTCCCTTTGTAGGAAAGATGTTCTGAACTGTGCAGGAGGTGATGTGTGTTGTCCATGTTGTTTGCCTCCAAAGGCACAAAATGAGCTTTTGAGTCCTTTAATGTGGTGTTTTGGGCAGCCCATGTTCAATAGCACAGGTTTCTGCCCTGGCTTTATTCAGTGTGTCCAGGAGCTGGCTGCCCGATTCTCTCTCTGTGTATGTGGTTTGTTTATCTGTGTCCGTTGCTTTTCTTAGTCTCTCTTCTTTCTCCAGTCCAGATTAGTTTGAGGAAAACCGCATTTTCTTTTCCGTAATACTTGCATTGGAAATTCAAGGGCAAAAGGTCCCTTCCTCACTCTCAGGAGCTGAGAAGTACTAGTGCTAAATGTCCTCATATCTAACATTGGGGTCTGAATCTACTTCTGGCACTGCAGCTCTGGCACTGAGGAGCAGCCTGTTGGGAGCAGTTTGCAAAAACAGTTTGGAATGTGTCAATATTATCAAGTCAGTACTGGAACCTTATGTGAATGAGTCTCTATCCCCTTACCTCATGGGGAAGTTGGAGCTTTCATGTTTCCAGAGAGAAATTGTCTCACTCTGCAAAGAAACGCTGGCTTTTCCCTGGTGACTCAGTGTGAAAAAGCTCACAAAGGCTTTCAGCAGCCCCACGTCCCAAACAGGCATCAGCAGCAAAACTGAGGTCATCTGTAATTCAGTATTTCATTCTGTGAAATTGCCTGCTCCAAGAGAAATAACACATTTACATGTACATTAACCAGTGTTTGCCAGCTCTTGGAATAAAGCCAGTTCTCTCAGGGCCAAACAAACACTCTGAGTGAATGAGTAATAATCTGCTATTGTCACTCTTAATTTATGGATGGGTAGATAGAGCAGTGTTTGCCATTTTAAGTTGTCCTATTTGCTTGGAAGGCTAAAAATCATGATTAGCTATCAGCTTGGAATTGTGGAGTATCTCTGTTGTGTCTGCTTATGGCTGATTTGCTGAATGCAGTTGTTGCACAAGTTCAGAACCGCCTCTTATGGTATGAATAATTGTGGCAGAGGATGAGAATGCATGAAGGTTACAGAAGCTTTAATTTTTCAACAAGTGCACTTAAAGGTAGTTTTTAAAACTTCATGCAAGTGTAAATGTGTAAGATTTACAGTCTGAC